ATTACTTAATAAAAATAATAAAATGATACATAAAAAAAAAAATATTTTGAATTTCGTCAAGCATGGAGCATTCTGACTTTGTAAGGTCTTTAGATTTATTTCTTTGATCAACAGCTTGTATTATATTGATATATTCTCTTTCTTTTCTTTCTAATATGAATCTATGGCTTCCCTTTCAGGCATGACGTGCCAGGCGCGAACTTCTTACACAGAGGACGAAGTTCTGTGGGGTCACCGCTTCCTACCTGTCATGTCACTGGAGGAGGGATTCTTCAGGGTGGATTACTCTCAGTTCCACAACACGTTTGAGGTGCCCACTCCTCCATACAGTGTGAAAGAGCAAGATGAAAAGTCCTCCCTGCCCTCCCCCGGTCCTGTACTCTCCCCCACATTGCTTGATGATCGTAGTCGCAGAGAGCACATCTTCTCTTTAGATGGGGTTCCTCACACCGATGAACCCGTGACCAAATTACCCAGCAAGCTCCAGCGTATGAGCTCCAAGAATGGAAAAGAGGTCCTAAAAACTGGAAGCACGCTGCCAACGGAAAAGGCCTCCAGCACGGGTGATCTGCCCCTCAGGGTTCAGCGACTTGGGTCCCTTGTGGGTCAAGCAGAGGTGGAAAATCAGCTCCAGCTCAAAACTCTTAAGCTGAGTTCAGAAACCCACACCCAGTCGGCAGGAGAACTGGAGCATCACAGACTGGTCCCAATACCTGCTCCGGTCCCAGGGCTGAGCCTTAATCCATTGCCTGCATCCAGTGGCCGACCAGAGGACAACCTCCCCCCAAAATTACGCAGAATGAATGCAGACCACTGAATGGGTCTTTATTTCTCACACAGAGATGAACATTGAGGCTTAGAAGGTAGAGATAATTCTCAATATCATTTAATATTGAATAATATTTATTTAAAGATTATTATAATATGATTCTTCTTCTCTATGCTTATGGAAGAGCCATGTCCCTTCAATTAAACTCACTGCTTTGCCCTCAATAATATGAGTATTGTAGATTTTCCGAATTCAATTTGAATTCAAATATGCTTCAGCTATTTTTAAATGATTAAGCAACTTTATAGTATGAACACAAAATATTAAGTGCATTTATTTATACAGTATAAGTAATTTATCAAGTATTTATTTAGAGGAACATTTACTGATGTATACATTTAAATGTGTAAGGCTTTTTGTCATATTTCTATCAGCAATATATATATATATACTTACTTTAAAATTCATATTTATTGGCACCAGTGTTATAAAAAATATTGATATGTGAACTGTTTTCATCTATCAATACTGAAAGTACTGAAAGAACTTCATTTTGTCAAAACATTTGTTCTCCATTTTCAAATGTTTCTCATATTGTTTCATTGAAAGACATTGTGCAAAGATGAAAATTACTGTGCAGTTGAATCAACAATTTTGACTTTTAATAATTTAATTATTTCTACAAAACAGTGCAATAAAATAACTTGGAAAGCATTATTTTGGTGTTCCTGACTGGCATCTACAAGTATGTCAGTTATAGTGCCCAGACAAGCAAACTAAGGCATGAAACATTTAGCATGTAATTGAACCTTTCAGTCAGGGTATTTGCATTAGGTCCTATCTATGTTTAGGGCCAGAGACCTGTGCATCCTCTACAACTAACACTAATTAGTTTATCCTTGGAAACCTTTTGATCTTTACCTCAGGCAGTGGGTGGAAATGAAAGTAATTGAATTTGCCTCCAAGAAAGAATAACTAATGGACATTCCATAAACTGCCATTACTCTTAATTAGATGCATGGAGGTTCTTTCAAATTGTTCATTACCCATGCAATTCATTTTTAAGGAAACACAGCAGTGGCCGGAAATGTGAAAGAATATTACAGTTTATCCTGGCTGGTACGCAGCAAGGCCATGCATTTAATTCCCATTAATGCAAACCATAAGCAATAACTACATACTGTACAGAAAAAAAATAAGAAGACTAAATCAAAAATTTCCTAATTCAGTCAATGTCCTCATAAATCAGTTTATATACTATATCTGCCTGGAATGGTTTGGCAACATGCACTTGAGCATTAGGAAATTAATCTAATTTACATGATGACATTTCCTTAAAAAATGCCTTTGTAATTCAACAAGTCTATTTCATAAACTGAATACCACTAGTTTGAGTGTAAATTCTCCAATCATTTGTCCAGGGTTGTGAAGTAAATGACCAGACAAAGTGCTTTTCCATCATGATGGAGCTGACCCGCCCTCCAATGGAAAGGTTATTTGTTTGACCAGGTGCCAAGAGACACTGCAGTCATGACTGAGACGAAATATCGATCACTGGGCGCCATCACATCAGCCTGGACAAATGTTACATCTCTTCTCTAGAGATGAAGCAGCATAGAAGCATACAAATGTGCTCAGAAACAGGGCAAATGGGAATCTTGACCAGCGAAGTCTGATATCCTGAGTCAGTACAACAGCTTCAACACAGGGGTTGGTATTGATGGTAAGAGTCTACTTAGTCTATTTATTAATTTAGTACATACCTTTTAGGGTGAAACAGAACCTATCCATCCAAAGTAAGGTACTTTCTATGTACCATATATACTGTACAATGAAGAACTATACTGTGATGATGAAGAGCACCCTTTAAAGTAATAATTTACCCAAAAGTAAAAATTCTGTCATCCTTGTGGGCAAGTGCGCCGACATACAGCGCCAATGTGCCTTTGAGTCCCGGCTCACGGTCCTTTCCTGATCCCATCCCCCTCTCTCTCTCTCTCAATTCACTTCCTGTCTAATTACTGTCCTATCACAATAATAATAATAATAATAAAAATAAAACATTGTTCCCATTGTTCTTAAAAATATATATATTTTCCAAATAAAAAAGCAAGTCACACATACATACATTTCTGGTTGAATTATTCCATGAAGTAGGTTGGTGTGTAATATAAATAAATTCCCCCATTTAGCCTACTATATCCACCATTTGCCTTTGACACGTAGTATGTTCTTCGACCTATTATGTGCTAACAACAACCACAAGAAAATTACTTGGTAGAAAAAAAGTACAATTTAACTTTGAGAACTTTCTTAGTATCTGTAACACCTCCAAAGAGCCGACTGTATCACCATAAATATTGAGTATTCGAACGTCTTGGTTACGTATGTAACCCTCGTTACCTGAAGGAGGGAACGGAGAGTGCCCCGGCTGCTCAGCGGTGGTACAGCAGCCGTGGCGACGGGATGTGACGTCTCCGTTCCCTCCTTCAGGGAATGAGGGTTACATAAGTAACTGAGACGTTCCCTTTCAGTCGGTCACTCAGAGTCACGTCGATGAACCGACGAATTGGGATCCCTACCAAAGCGCCATGGATGCTGCCCCTTCCAGTGTCCTGTGCGAGCCGCCTGCGCCCCTTTGCGGTGTAGGCCGGGGCTCGCAACAAGAAGACCAGTCACTGTTATCATAGCACTACCCACTCAGTGAGATTGGATAACACTGGGAAAACGTACCCGTTCCATTTGGAACAGGAACGTTGCGGAAGCCCCATCCTTCCCGAAGGAGGTTTCGGAAGCACTTACAAATATGACATCCGTTTTGGTGCATATGGAAGATTAGAGGGGATTGTAACCCTCATGGAAATGGAAGAAGTCTGCTGGGGAAACACAGGCTCTGAGGCTATACCGTGGACTTTACAGATATGGGAACCACTTAGGCCTCTACATAAGGAACCCAGCCCTCTACCGGTTCTCATAGATTCAGCGAGTGAGGGCCTGGTGCCGGACGTTCCGCCACGTCTCGCTGCCGAGGGATGGAGGAGCTCGACAGGGCCTAAAGTACGGACACTCTGGAGATTGGCGGAGAGACGAGAGATAAGTGCCCGCAGACCTGGGAGAGGGGGGAGAGAGAGCAGAGTGTGTTTGTAACCGTGTGCAAGACTGTGGAGGCCGAGAGCCAAACAGCGTTTTATTTTCGATTCTATGTTCATTTTGGGGGAAATAAAGAAGTTTGCTCTCCACCCCTTGACTTCCTCATCCTTCTTGCCGAACTTTATTACAACCGGTTCAACACGAAGGCTATAGAACCTAGCGAACGTGTTGGGGGTCGCCCAGCCCGCAGCTCTACAAATATCTGTCAGCGAGGCGCCACAAGCCAGCGCTCATGAGGATGCAACACTCCTATTAGAGTGAGCTCGCAACCTGAGCGGGCAGGGCACACCCTGTGCCTGATAAGCCAGGGTGATGGCATCCACAATCCAGTGGGCCATCCTCTGCTTAGAGATGGCATTCCCCTTCTGCCGGCCTCCGTAACAGACAAAGAGCTGGTCTTAGGTCCTAAGGCTTTGTGTCCGGTCTACGTAGCATCTCAAGGCTCGGATGGGACAGATTAGCTCGACTGACTGCAAAGGCTCAAATGGGCCCTGCTGTAGTGTTTTGAGCACTAGAGACAGGTCCCAAGAGGGAATAGAGAAGGGCCGGGGAGGATTTAAACTTCTCGCCCCCCTAAGGTCGAGAAGAACACCACTCAACGAACAGGTTCCACTTCAAGGCGTAAGCGTGTCTCATAGATGGTGCTCTCGCCGAAGTGATGGTGTCAAGTACCTCTTGGGGTAGGTCACCAAGAACCTACGCGTCCCGTCCAGGGACCAGCATGAAGTTTCCAGAGGTCTAGACGCGGGTGCCACAGAGTGCCCCGTCTCTGAGTCAGTAGATCCTTCCTCAGAGGAATCTGCTAGGGAGGGGCTGTCGCGAGGAGTATTAGTTCGGAGAACCAGGTCCGAGTGGGCCAATACGGCGCCACACGCAGGAGCTGCTCCTCGTCCT